AGGAGAGGCTTAACTGGTGTCATCCATCCATCTATCACAAGCCTCACCCATCTCACCCACCTCAATCTTTCCCACAATTCTCTCCTGGGTTCTCTCCCTGATGATTTGTTTTCCTCTCTCTCTAGTCTCCAAGTCATTGACTTGAGCTTCAATCGTCTCATCGACCACCTACCACCCCCTTCAAATAAAATCAGTCAGCTTCAGGTTCTGAACTTGTCTAGCAATTTCTTCAATGGAAAAATCCCATCTTCGATCCTTGTCCCATCGGTGTCTATTTTCAATGTCAGCAACAACAGCTTTTCCGGGTCAATACCCATTGACAATGATAGCAACCACACATCCCTTACCTTCTTGGACTTGTCCTACAATAAACTCAATGACACAATTCCTCCTGGAATCGGATTATGTTCCAAGCTCCAAGTTTTCCGTGCAGGCTTCAATAGCCTCTCTGGTTCTCTCCCTGATCAAATTTTCAACCTTGCTGATCTCCGACAGCTCTCTCTGCCTGTCAATAGTCTTACAGGACCCATCAATGATGGTATCATGAACCTCACCAATCTCCAGACCCTGGAGCTCTTTTCAAACCAGTTCTCTGGGCCAATCCCAAGCCAAATTGGTAACCTTTCCAGGTTGGAAAATCTGCTGCTCCACATCAACAATCTCACAGGTCCCTTACCTCTATCTCTCGCCAACAGTACAAAGCTGTCCGCTTTGAATTTGAGGGTCAACAACTTGACTGGAGACCTCTCTTCCTTCAACTTCTCCCCTCTCCAACGCCTCACCACTCTGGACCTTGGCAACAACAACTTCACTGGTGAGTTACCCAAAAGTCTCTACTCTTGCAAGTCATTAACAGCTATTAGATTGGCCAATAATCAGCTCACAGGACAGATATCACCTGAAATAGTTGCATTAGAATCCTTGGCTTACTTCTCCATCTCTACTAACAACCTCACAAATGCCGCTGGGGCTTTTAGGATTCTAAAGGGTTGCAAGAACCTGACCACTCTGGTCCTGTCCAAGAATTTTCTGTTTGAGCCTGTGCCAGATGATGAAAGCCTAGGAGACCCCGATGGATTCCAGAGTCTTCGGGTTTTTGCTCTGGGGGGTTGCCAATTCACAGGTCAAGTACCCACCTGGCTAGGCAAGCTTAAAAATCTTCAAGCCTTGGACCTGTCATTTAATCTTATAACTGGTTCTCTTCCCGGTTGGTTGGCTAGTCTGCCCAACCTTTTCTACATTGATTTGTCCAATAACCTCCTTCAAGGCGGATTTCCTAATGACCTCTGTGGGATGCCAGTTTTGACATCGAAAGAGGCCAGTGATAAGGTGGACAGTAGTCATTTAGAGTTGCCAGTCTTTGTGAAGCCCAAAAATGCTAGTGATCAGCAGTACAATCGACTCTCCAACCTCCCCCCAGCCATATATCTGAGTAACAACAGCCTTAATGGCAGTATCCCCATTGAGATTGGCCGATTGAAGTTTATTCATGTGTTGGACCTTAGTCATAACAAATTCTCTGGCAGCATCCCAGATCAGATTTCTAACCTCACTAACTTAGAGAAATTGGATCTTTCCTATAACAATCTATCTGGTGAAATCCCTGCATCTCTCAAAGAAGGTCTGCATTTCTTGTCTTCCTTCAGTGTGGCATACAATGATCTTCGGGGACTTGTACCATCTGGAGGTCAGTTTGATACTTTTACCATCTCCAGCTTTGAAGGGAATCCGGGCCTATGTGGTCCTCCAACTGTACATCGCACGTGCCCTCAACCATTATCACCAGCAGCTGGTCCAAGATCCAACAGTCACAGAAAGCTTCTTACTGGACTCATTGTTGCCATTGGTTACTGCATTGGCTTTGGCTTTGGTTTTGGCTTTGGTTATAAACAAAACTTTATTGTAATTTAAACTGGAATTTCATTGATCAACAAGTGCTTGAATTTTAATATCTTTCATTGTTTCTAAAGTTCAAAATATATTGAAGTAACAGACAACAACAGTTAATCTCAACTCCATTGGAGAGAAAAATAAAAGCAGAGCAAGAGAACCAAACTAACCTGGAAGAGAGGGAACTGCCAGAAAGAAGACAACAAGAAGCCAATACGAACAAGAAGCCCAATCCAATAAAACCCGGGCCATCTCTCAAGTCTCAACCCATTTGATTTGCTACACCTAATCTAGATTCTAGTGATCGAAAAAGACCATTTGACCCTTGTCAGTCCCTACGGAGTCCGCCTTATCTCTCCATAAACCCTAAAAAAGATATTTAAAAAACCTATTAAAGCTCTTCCCTCGACTTCTCCAAAATCCACCAGAAAGAGAGAAACCCATAAAAAGCTTTCATTTTTCTTTTTGTTATTTCACTTTAATCTTTTGGAAACCCCAATGGAACAGCCAACCTTCAACTCTCTCCCTCAAAACACCAACACCACAACATCATCTTCCACAGCAAAACCCCAAAAGAAAAAGCTACCAACCCCACAAGAACTCATCTCCCACTATGAGTCACAAGGCCTTGACACCCAAGAGGCCTCTCTTAAGGTCATAGGTGACCTCCAGGCTGCCCTCTTTAGGGTCATAACCTCTGGCAGAGGCAGAAAGGACAAGCTCTTGGCTGAGACCTCCAGAAAGATTGACAGCACCAACAACAGCCTTGCCATTCTTAATATGAAGATTGACTCCAAGCCTGGCTATGGTGAAGCTTTTGGTATTGGGGTTGCTTCTGGGGTGACTTTGAAAGGCATTGAGACTGTTCTGCCTCACGTTCTCAGGGGTTTTGGACAGATTTGGAACACAGTCAGGAATGCCACTAAGGATTGATGTTCTGTTTTTTTTTTTTTCTGTCCTTTTTCTTCTTCTATTTTGGGGTTTTTGGGATTTTTTGTTGAATTTGGTTGGTGGGTTTCTTGGGATATTGCAGAAATTTGTAGTGGGAAACTGGGAAAATGCATTCTATTGATGGAAAATTAAATGTAATTTCCATTGAGAATGTTACAATTATGCCTTTACTTTAGCCAAGGTACTTTTGTATTGGTATTGAATGATAAAACTTTGGCAACAGAATATATAGTTTGGACTGTAACTTCCAATTAAAAGTTTTTTTTTTATACTTCATAATTTCCAAGTAAAATGATAAGAGTTAAAACTTAATAAGCCTTCTCCCTTTCCACCAAGTCTGATAGAATCAAGTCAAGCCAAGCCTAAGCATTTTGATAACTGTGGTTGTGTAGTATTACCAATCCATTAAATTACATAACATGAAAAATTAGAATCTAATACAAAATGATCCTAAGCAACCTTTTCTAAAATACTATCTTCTACTTCTTTCACAACCCATATGATGAGGAGTTTTTGAACAAAATTGCGTCTGGAAATTCTTGAGGTCTATGCAACAGAACTTCAATGGTCAAGAACTGTATGGCGCACCTTACTTGGGCAATAATAATCTGGTCCTTATCTTGAATATCGATCTACAAGTGCCTTGGCTTTATCTGGTGCAAAAAACCGTGCCTGCGCATGAAACACCATGATTTATAGCTAAATTTCACGGAACACCGGGATTTAGAGATTAGCAACATTCGATGCCACACGAACGGATGCACACAAGGAGAATTAGACATCTAACTTGCCTTGTCCACCTTTTTAATATATCGTTTCTCTTCAAAAATAAAAAACCTTTGACAGATAGTTCATACAAACAGACACCCAACACCGATCTTAATTTCTTTTTCACCTTCAAAGACGGTTGCAAATACAACAAAATGAAGGAAAAATGAAATGTCATCATTCAAGTTATAGGCCATGGGACTCAACAATGTGGAACAGCACAGGGCTTTCCACTCCAGTACTGTTAAAGTCCTTCAAGTAGGATAATGCCCACAGGAATTTTAAGCCACAGCTAATTGTGGCAGGCATTATTATGGATGAGATGGTACGCTAAACTGAACATATAATGTGTGTGTGTGCACGTGCGTGTATGCCTGCAGGTAAACATCTGTATCTACAGAAATATACTTCATCTGCCAATAGACATTCCAATATTTACCTGTATAAACGTCAACTCTTTACATGTAATGTGTGTGTGCACGTGCATGCTCTTGTATCTACAGAAATATAGTTCATCTGCAACCAGACATACATATATTTACCTGTATAAACATCCTCTCCGCTTCTCCAACTTTACCATTTTCTCTCAAAATAATTCCCTGCAGAACCATTGAAGAGACGAAACTTTAAAGCAAACACAAGTTCTTTTTATCCAAAATACCAAGGATCAAGCAAACGAAGACAAGCCAAAATACCTAAGGGAAGAAGAGTTGTCTAAAACAAAAATAGTTCAATGACCTTCAGTAGCGCTTTTTCCTCACTAGGAGACCTTTTCTTGGCATAAAGAATTTCAATAAAACTGAAGTGCCTCCCACATATTCACTTGGAAGCACTTCTTGAAGAAGCACATGTTCTCCAGCACAAACTAAAGTGATTCTATAACCTAGCAAACACTTGCATCTATTTCTACCAAACACAATAAAAAAACCACTTTTAGTTATATGGAAGTGCTACCAAGCAAATTTGAAGACCTTAAAGGAAGTTGCCAGACATGAGAAATGACATCCTCTACAGTCAAATAACATGCGATGGGGTACTTGGTTAGAGCTAAGTGGCAGACCCTGATTTTTTTTTTTTTCTTTTTCTTTTTCCCTTTCTTAGAACATCCAACCAACCCCATCTAATTAGGAATTTAAAGGCTTTCTTGAGTTTAGCTGACGTGATTATATGTAAATACATACGCACTGTACAAAGGTGAAAAATAAAAAATACTGACAATCTTTAAACAAAAAGGAAGCAAAAGAAAAAGGGGGGAAAAACCTTAGCCAAGTAACCACGGAAGTCATTTGGATGACTAGAGATGAGCCGATCATAGACAGATACAGCATCACTTACATGACCCCAATCTGAATATGCTTTTCCAAGAAGTAATTCAACCTGATTATTTGTGGCATAAAGAAAAGAGAAAAGAGAGGAAAAAAACACAAAAAATTAGATATTGCATAACAAGATGCAATTTATCTGAACATTTTAAAACTTTAAAAAGAAGGGGCGGGGAGAGAGAGAGAGAGAGAGAGAGAGAGAGAGAGAGAGAGAGAGATGTGTGGGGATAAATTTGGAATATTAAAAAGTAAAATTATTTAAAAATAATGGTCAAAACAGATTCTTCTCAAAATATTGGGTTTGGTTTGGTTAAATCTTTTTTATTTAGTTTGGTTTTCTGAACTTGTTAAATCTTTTTGGTTTGGTTTGGTTTGGTTTGGTTCTCTCACCTTATAAGCAAAAACATTAGCCATTCAGTGATGCCAAAATATGTAAATTATAGAGAATCTGTGACTCACTTGAATAGGGTCCACCTGCAAATTTGTTTCAGTTGTAGTGCTTCCAGCCTTTGCATCTGGATTGCCAGCATTCATACGTTCACGAGAGGCAAGAAGAAACTGAACAGCCTGCAATAAGTTTGATTTTACTTGTAAGAAACTCAGTAAAGTATTTGTCCAAAAAACAAAAACTCATTAAAGTACATAGGATAAACAGGGGAAAATTGAGATTCGAAATCTCACAACAAATAATCAAATATGCAATAAATAATGATTGGTACCAGTAAGCCACCAGATTCCTATGGTTTTCCAAACTCAGGCCATATGGAAATGAAATACCATAGTCTAGAACAGGTAAAATCATCTTATATGACATATTCAATACCATAAAAGGATTTTTAAGCACCATGCTAAATTATTTACACCCTGACTAATGATGTCAATAAGAATGCTGTCATAGGAATATCTTAAAATGAAGGTTAGTGCTTATTTATTTCAATTCACAAGAATAAGAAAAAACCTCATCTGGTTTTTTAGCAGCAAGTAATGAATTCGTAAGGCCACGCAGAACTTCAAATTTGAGATCTTTAGACACCTGTAACACAACAACATAACATTCATGTACCACATTTTATTGAACTTATCTTATTAATAATTAATGAAAATTATCAGCTAACTAACAATATCAACACATCTTCAGTGATAGAACTGATGCGAATTAGTTGAGCTTGTGCACAGTTTACAGAGACTGACCATTGAAGAAACCTTATATGCAGCAGCACTCCCTTCATAATCCTTGAGTTCATATTTAACTTCTCCAAGCAAACGAAAAACTTCGGGATCACTTGGTTTCTCCTGTGTACCCACCCTATCAGCGTGATAATTTCCTAAACAGAAAATTTTAAACAGCATGTGCCACATACAATGTGCAATAAATCCAAAAGCAAAAACTAGAACAAACCTTAGCCAAGTCCTGAAGCAGAGTTGAAGCCCGAGTATATTCTCCTAATTCTGCCAAGGTTACTGCAGCTCCCTGCAAAGTTCCAAGAGAATATTTTATATGGCTGCCACTTGAGGATTCAGTAACAAAGGAAGAAGAATAGTCTTGCGTTTCACACTACAACTCACCTCAAGAGCAGTTGGATCCTTCGGGGAGTTACTAAGCGTTGCTTCATATTCTTTCAGCCGAGTCTGCCACAAATCAAAGGTAAACGTGTGAAGGATCTTTTAATACAAAGTAATATGAAAAGACACAGATTTAAAATGCAAAATCAAAAAAATCAGGAAACAGAAATGAAAGAAAGATGCTTAGTCCATCAAAGAGGAGAGAATATAAAAGACTGTGGCTTCAACTCCTACAGTACAACATACAACAACACCACTAAATGAAAAACGCAAAGACATAATATTTTGCCCATGACCATTACCTGAAGTGACACTTTCTCTTCTTCGGACAGTTTGTTACTGGTTACTGCAGCATCCTCAGTAGGACTTAAACTGAAAACTTGAAGACCATATCAAAATGAAATCATTCCTCTGCAATTACTCAACACTCAACTGCTGTAATAAGAAGGATATTAAGAAGATGAGGAAGTCAATAACAAAATACCAATAGTTTAAAACCCTAAAGCAGCCTTGTTCCTTCCCAGATATTAATTCTCTTCATAAAGTAGATTAACTCAAACGAATTTTGAGATATCAGATTTTAAATTCTGACAGGCTGTCAGAAAGATTTATATATAACTAAAAGAAAACAACATAGTTACGTATGTACATAATACATATACATATACACCTTCCTCTTTAATCAAGTGGATAGAGAGATAGCATAAATCTTTAATGTTTCATGATTTTTCCAGCCAGTCTGAAATCATGTGTCAAGGTAAAGATACGAGAACAATATGACAAATCAAGTGGTCATGGGCAGACACGAGAAAGATAGAAATATAAGGGTACTTTAATCTGAAAAGACCTATAATCAACTATGTCATACCTTCCGGAAGGAAGAAAATCTCCAAGAGCAAAAACCAAACCGAAGACTACTACAGCTACACCTACTCCAATCTGTTCCATGAAAACTTTGGATTAGCGATATGTGTAGTGTAAAAAATGATTCTTAGCATTCATTTACAGTTAGAACGCAGAAAGCAGCAACGTTTACCTGTGTACCAAGTCCAATTGATTTCTTCTCCTTCTTCTCCAACTCAACAGGTGCATCATAGTCAATTGCCCCAAATTCCTTTTTTTCCACCACTTTTTTCTGCTCAAATGCTGAACTGAATTTCATGGACAAGGGATGATACTCATTGGAAATAATTCTAAACTAAAAATTAAGAATATGGAACCATCCAATCAGCTCTTATGATATGCTAATGCAGCAATGCACACACACAATTTTTACCTTCTGACTGCTTGCAGACGTTCCTCAAACTCAAGGTCAGCAGGGTTTCTCTGAACCTTTCCATCAAATCTAGAATTCAATCCAGGTGCCTCTACAAACAACAATGTGACCTTGAATTGAATGTATAACCCAAGAGAAGAATACAACTTATAAGGAGCACAACCCACTAATCAAAAAAGAGTGTGGGACTAGAAAATGGTTAAACAAGCCTTCAAGTTGGTCATGAAATTTGCAACATATCTAGAAAAGGAAAGTTGGGTAGTTGCCAAAAATAAATAATACAAAAAAAGGTTCATTCACTTACGGGTAGGAACAGCACCAGACCGTTTAGTGGTTGATTCCTGCTTCAAAAATGTTAAGTTTTAGCACAGATTTTTTCATTAAAAAGATTACAAATTTAAGTAAACTATAAATAAAAGGCTTAATCTTGGTCATCAATTCCAAAAATGGTACCTGATTGAGGTTGTTCTTGTTCCTGTTCTTGTTCTTATTGTTGGTTTTGGTTCCGAAACCTTGTTCCTGTTCTTGTTCTTAATGTTGGTTTTGGTTCCGAAACCAGTTCTGGGCTTCGAATCAGAGCATTGAATTTTGACCTTAAAGAAACGACATGTCGTCATCGTCATCGCTGTTGTTGCTGCGAGTGACATGACTGTGTTTTTGCAGCTCGTTTTCCCCAAAATTTCAGATTAACGGTCTGCTATGTGACTGTCTGTGTTTCTCTCTCTCTCTCTCTCTCTCTCTCTCTCTCTCTGTTTTTTGTTTTTTGTGCGAACACAGAGACACAACACAATCTCTTCGAAACTATTTGAGCTAAGTAGGCCCTCCAGATAAGATTGGTGACCCGTCAACAATATTAATGAAAGAAAAACATAGTTTTGGTTTCTTCTATTTTGAAACATGTTTTTCTTTTTTCCGTGGAATAAAAAAAAAATGCTATTTAAGAGTTATTTGGTTAATCCTTGTAGCGCCCACATCATCGAAATTGTGAATTCATCAGTGTTGAAAAATATAAACTAAGGATGAAATTGAAATTCTAGTACAGATTGCACTCCAACAAAAATAAAAGGCCACACTATTTGGTGCAAAGCAGATGAGGAACTCTCCATGGCTATATGACCCACATAAATTTGTACTATTTAACCAACAAAAATACTTCCGCCTCATTCTCGATGGTGAACAATACAATAAACTCTCGTCCATAAGTGTGCATAATTAGCAAAACGAGATACGAAATTGAAATTAGAATCTTAAAGCTACAAACAGCTTAAATTAATCAAACGATGGAATGACAAAACTAAAATTTTCCACCCACCATGGTTAAAGAATGTCCATATAACATAAATAATAATCAGACCCTAGCTTTCTGCAATAGAGGTCTAAATCCATGGCGATGATCACAACACATACTATCTTCCTTGTTGCATGTCGTAGAGGAGTCAAAATTACGCACCTCAGAAACCATCTTCAAGAACTCTTGCAGCTCCAAGCTCCCATACATTTTCTCATCTTTTTTAAGTAAGCTCAAGACTTTTTTGAAGAACACAACATCACATGGCAACACTATGCCTCCACTGGCCTTGAACCCAAACTCCTCCCCAGATTTATCAAGAAGAGCTACGAAGATTGGGAAGTTGAGGAAGCGGGTCGGGATCAAGAATCGGATTCGATCCCATCCAATGTACACAGGAAGGAAGCCGGAGGGAGCGAGAGAAGATTTCCCATTGAGGCTTATGGCCTTCCAAAGTCTCATCACTTGTTTGAGTTGGATGGCTTGCCTGATTGTTTTGACCCTTTTGCTTGAGGTTGCCATTAGGAAATGAATTAAGATGGAGAATGGTGATGAGAAGGGTTGGATTGTCGTACCACTCATGCTAATACATCCTATGGTATATATGTTGTGAAACTCATGAAAGTGAGAAGAGTGTATATATAAGGTTTCCAAATGTAGCTTGTTGAATGTCCATGCACATATTTAATACATTTAATTTTTTAATAAACTACAAGGTAATGCAAGCTTAGCATTGATTGGCACGAAGACTCAAATGAAAACAAATGCCTATCCTATTAAATGCTAAAATCAACGTTTAAATGGTATTTAAAATACCTAACTTACGCCATAGCTATTATTGACATTCTAAAAAAATCGTCATACATTGTTCTTTTATAAAAACATAGAAGATAAATTGCACTTCAAGGAGGGCACGATAACTTTTTCGGATTGTTATAAAACTTTATCCATATGGGATTTATATATTTTCATGATATTTGGATTCTTCCACCGAAATGTGAATTAGAAACGGATCATGCAGCCAGCCTATCTTCATCTACAGAGATATAATCGTTGCCCATCTATCGTTGCATCCAAAGTCTAGCTAACAAGAGTATAGCAAGGATATGTATCTGTTACAGCTCACAAGTCACAACATCAAATATTTTTAGCAAGAGGTTCATTCCTTATTAACCAATAGCACACAAATTGTTATGATCGATGTCTCCAATCTATTTACATTAATTCTAGCTAAATTCAGATGCATACGCCAGTTGTGTTTTTATATCTTCAAGTGAAAACAAAAAGGGTGGCTCTTGGTTTTAACTAAAGTACACTTTGGTCGATTCCAAATTTGGCATGATATCAGTGTAATGTCAATGTGAATTTGTGACTGAGGTCTAATTATTCATGGACTGTGAAACTCAATTACAGAGGTGGATTTCATGCGAGTCTCATGATCATCTATAAAAAAAAAAATGTGGTTGACAACGTACACAACTTTCATAAGTTCACACATCTACGAACTGCATTCCTGACCACATTTCTCATTCCCAATTATAGCGAATCTCATTCCATGATCACTATAAAAAAATTGTGGCTGAAAAATTCTAGATGGCTTATGTTCATTCATGAGCTCATTCATTTATTATTACACTATAACAACGCCAAAAATGCCAGCCCCTTAGCTATATTATATTGACCGTATACATAATGGCCGCCAAATCTATACAGCACGTGGACAAGCCAAATATAGAGATGGCTGTGAGAATTCCACGGCGGAGCACTCAACAAATTTGGACTCTAAATGCTCTGAATTTCTATTTAAATGTCAACAAAATTTACAGCCAACTTAACGATTAACAAAGCCTAAACCAATTATGGCTAGTTCCTCCCCAACTCAAAACATGTTGTGTTTCGCAGAGAAAAAGTTTTTTCCTGCGTTGTAAGAAACTTTTTCTCTGCGAAAACACTGCCAAAAAAAAAACCGTGTTCTAATTTGTGGTTGTTTGTAAAAAGATTAAAATTCCGATATGAATTCTATCTTCTTATGAATCATGAAACCCTTTTTTGCATGCATGGACTTGGCTCGCCAAGTTCTCACCCAAGGTTCAAAGCCATACCTAATTTCATCATCATTCGTCACCAGCAGTGCAATAATATGAAGCAGCAGCGAATAAGACACATTGCATGGCCCAAGCACATGAACATCCACCGCCTACGGCTATGGTTGCCTCCACTCAACCACAAATCTGAAGCTGTTTCCGGAAAGAACATGACCATAAGAATTGTAGAGTCCGGTGAGACCTCTGAGTTGCTCACCGGAGAGCTGTCTGATGGCCGACGGGGTAGTACTTCGGTGCTGCAAGTTCCAAAAGGGTTCTTGGCAGTTTATGTTGGGCCGGAGCTTCGAAGGTTTGTGATTCCCATGAGCTGTTTGTCATCACCGGATTTTAGGGTTTTGATGGATAGAGTGGCTGAGGAGTACGGGTTTGAGCAAGAAGGTGCACTCAAAATCCCTTGTGATGAAGAGGATTTTGAGCATATTTTGTTCAGGTGTTTGGCAAGTAAGAAGAATGATAAGAAGAGAAAGGTGTAATTATTTCATGCAGCCCTTTTGTTTTTTCTTTTAATCCCTTCTCCTACAATTTAGGCAGAAGCAGAATGTGTATAAATTTGGTTCAGAAATTATAGACAAAAGAAAAAAATTGTTATCATTTACTTTGTCTACTTGGATTGATTTGGGTTTGAAATTTTTGTTTCATATATATGTTATATATATTTTCATGTGGGGATAGCACGCCTTCTTTGAAAGTGCTTTTGTAATTGTCCAAAGCACTTCCAAATAAGTCCTTTTTGCTTCCTCTGTAGAATCATTTATCTAGCTTCTCAAGAAAACATTTGCAACTAATATGCAATCAGCCCTTTGATTTTCAAAACTTATGTGTTCGAAAGGATCAGATTGCACTTCGATCATCAAAACTTAAAAGAGAAAAAAACCAACAAAAAAAAAAAGTTTCTGAGACATCCATTTGTTTCAATATTATCCCTCAATAAAAGAAATGGACCAACATGCACAGGCCCATGGTTTTTTCGACATGGTTAAACCTCCTTTTCTTTTCTTTTTTTCTCTTTTTTTTATACAAGCGATAATATACTTTAATCTAATCTAAACTACAGGGAGGGGAATTTGAACTCAGGTGCAGAGTGGGGAGGACATCCAATGGCGGACCCAGACTTCCGTTCATCTAGGGGCTTAAAAAAAAATCCAACCGATATATAGTCAAACAAAAAATATTTGGGTTTAAAGTGAATTTGATGACTAAGTTCTCCACAAAATTACAGAATGAGCGTACTTGGTGAGATCTTTATTCTTCTTTTATAACATAGGGTTTTTCTTTTTTAATATAAACTTTAAGTTTAAAGTGTATGTATTGGATAGGCCATGTGGGGGCTCCACCTAAGAAAGACCTAAAAAAAAATAAAAAATATGAGTTTGGGTGGGATTATACAGCTGCAACTTTTTTGTAAGTGCGGGCAAGTGCCCACAGTTGTCCTTCATTGGGTCCGCCAATGCATAGAGATAGGACTTACATATGTAGGGCTCATCTCTATTTAAAATGTGGTTAACACAATTATTTTTATACATGCTCAAATATTCAATTTTGCAAAATAAAAAAATTGTGACGTGGTTGGGTATGTAACGTGGTTGACAGACGGGAAGGGTCTCTCCTTTTCTTTCTGTTACTACAAAGACATTCGGTCGTCTATGGTCACAATCGTGTGGAACTTTCTTAGATAATGATGTGTACATCGATATAGTTTGGTTGGATATGTAACGTGGTTGACAGACGGGAAGGGTCTCTCCTTTTCTTTCTGTTACTACAAAGACATTCGGTCGTCTATGGTCACAATCGTGTGGATTATTCAAATACAGTGAACCATAAAAGAGGACTTTTCAAAAATTAGCCACCGATATTATTCTTATCTTAACCACATGCATATTATTCAAAAAAAAATCAGCAATCGTGTGGATAATGATGTGTACATCGATATAGTTTGGTTGGATATGTAACGTGGTTGACGGGCGGGAAGGGTCTCTCCTTTTCTTTCTATTACTACAAAGACATTCGGTCGTCTATGGTCACAATCGTGTGGATTATTCAAATACAGTGAACCATAAAAGAGGACTTTTAAAAAATCAGCCACCAATATTATTCTTATCTTAACCACATGCATATTATTATAAAAAAAATCAGCAATCGTGTGGATAATGATGTGTACTTGGTGGGATCTTTATTCTTCTTTTATAACATAGGGTTTTTCTTTTTTAATATAAACTTTAAGTTTAAAGTGTATGTATTGGATGGGCCATGTGGGGGCTCCACCTAAGAAAGACCTAAAAAAATTAAAAAAATATGAGTTTGGGTGGGATTATACAGTTGCAACTTTTTTGTAAGTGTGGGCATGCAAGTGCCCACAATTGTCTTTCATTGGGTCCGCATAGAGATAGGACTTACATATGTAGGGCTCATCTATATTAAAAATGTGGTTAACACGATTGTTTTTATACATGCTCAAATATTCAATTTTGCAAAAATAAAAAAAAATGTGACGTGGTTGGGTATGTAACGTGGTTGACGGACGAGTATTACTTCAAAGACTTTCAGTCGTCTGTGGTCACAATCGTGTGGATTATTCAAATAAAGAGAACTTTCTTAGATAATGATGTGTACATCGATATAGTTTGGTTGGATATGTAACGTGGTTGACGGACGGGAAGGGTCTCTCCTTTTCTTTCTATTACTACAAAGACATTCGGTCGTCTATGGTCACAATCGTGTGGATTATTCAAATACAATGAACCATAAAAAGAGGACTTTTCAAAAATCAGCCACCGATATTATTCTTATCTTAACCACATGCATATTATTAAAAAAAAAATCAGCAATCGTGTGGATAATGATGTGTACTTGGTGGGATCTTTATTCTTCTTTTATAACATAGGGTTTTTCTTTTTTAATATAAACTTTAAGTTTAAAGTGTATGTATTGGATGAGCCATGTGGGGGGCTCCACCTAAGAAAAACCTAAAAGAAATTAAAAAATATGAGTTTGGGTGGGATTATACAGCTGCAACTTTTTTGTAAGTGTGGGCAAGTGCCCACAGTTGTCCTTCATTGGGTCCGCCAATGCATAGAGAAAAAAATGTGACGTGGTTGGGTATGTAACGTGGTTGACGGACGAGTATTACTTCAAAGACTTTCAGTCGTCTGTGGTCACAATCGTGTGGATTATTCAAATAAAGAGAACTTTCTTAGATAATGATGTGTACATCGATATAGTTTGGTTGGATATGTAACGT